CAAATTGAGAGAAGTCGGGCGAGAAGGTTCTAACAGGGCCACCAATGGCTTGAATTTTAGCCAGCTCATCAGGAATTTGTCAACATTAATTCCCTGTGTGGTCAGCTCTAGAAATGAACCCGCCAATAGGTAAATGAGTACATGCTCTATAAAAATGAATTCACAAAACACAATTAAATGATTTCAACTTTTTATTCATGTATATATGTTTAATTCAGAAATATCTTGTCTTAAATTGCATTCATAAAAATATATCAGGAAACAAGCAAACATTCTCTAGTGGTCTTGATAACAATTATTTCAGACAGAGACTTTGAGGTTTTACAGGAATTCCCAAGTTCCATCAATTCTTTGCCAGGTTGCTTCTGACCTTTCCTTGGAATAATATGGAGAGGTCACACTCTTCTCAGCTCCCACACTTTACCAGAAAGAGAAATTTGTAACTTTATCCATAGCAAGTCTAAAATTGCAATAAGAGATAGGACTTTTGAGGTAAAAGTCTTATACACAAATACTATAAAAAAAAAAAAAAAGCCTGTGGGGACTTCCACATATCAATAAAACTACAATAAACCTCCACATATTTACAACCCAAATCCCACCAACCAGCTATTTATGTTGTCAGCTTGCTCCAAGTCCATCATAAAAAACATTCATATAGTCAGGTCTTCATGTTGGTTCCATAGTAGGTAGGTATGATGATGCGTTGCACTGCCTATACGAATGCTGCTTACTCAGGAGTACTACGGAGGTCTATCTAAAAGGATCACATTTAAGTTAAATACAATAGTCATTATTCCTGAGCTTTGTCGGAGTGTGGCCATACAATCTTCCAAGAGTGTGTATAGGGGCAACAGGAGGAGAAGGGATCGCAGGATCCTACTTGTTTCATCTATAAAATTGTAAATATAGCCCACCATCATGGACTATATAAGGTCCTACAGAGACTTTCGAGTCAGGGGCTATATGGGGTGCTTCCGACTGTCACCAGGTTATTACATTGCAATGTTCAGTTTGGAGCAACTGCACACTTGTGGGATCACACAGTATATCAGCAGCTGATTCTATCCTTACAATTCTCACAGAGTTGGCAACTTATTGGCTCCAGTTACGATGGACCACAGCTGTAGCACAAAGCTACTCTTATCAGGATTAACATGTGGGCTTATGATATACACTAATGTTCCCAAAGAATTTCTTCTTCTAGGCCTTATGAGGAGCCTGAGCATTTGGTTAATATTTAAACTCTGCTTCATGGAGTATCTTTAGTGTCCTCTAGGTAAGGCTACTCAAACTAAATGTAGTCAAGGTCTATTTATAAGTGGACTATGGTGAAGTTTTGACTACTGAAATGTGAACTGATTGGCTATATTCACAATTTCTTTTTAGGAGGATACAACAGGGTCCTGTGATCCCTTCTCTTCTTGTTGACCCCTGGGGAATTACATGGCCATGTCCTGACACAGCCCAGGAATGAGTACCTATAGTATGCAAGGAAAACTTCTTCTTGGATAAATGGAGAAATATATATATATATTTTTTTTTTTTCCATTTATTACAACCCTCCCAACCTCTCTGACAACTTGTATGTGCATTCATTAAAGACTGATTTATAATGCATTGTCATACCAACCTACTGTGGAACCAGCATGAAAACATAACTATGACTTCAACAATAGACTTGGAGCAGTTAAACTGGCAGTATATTATCTGGCCAAGGGGATGTGGGTTCTGAATATATGGAGAATTATTGTATTTTTACCAAAACTTTTTTTTTTTAAATAATATTTACGTAAAATATTAGTACCTCAAAAAGTCCAATCCATTATTGTAACTTTAGACTGTGCCTACATGTATTTGCAGATGTGGTACCAGGATCAGTGCCACCATCTATGTTACAATAGTGACAATTTTATCCATAGCATCACATACAGTTGAAAATGCTGCTGTGTATTGTCTTGTGAGTTATTCAGCAGTGTATTTCAATGGTGATGGATATATAAAAGTGTATATCAAAAGGTGGTGGAAGGATATAACAGAGTGCAGAACACACCCCACTGATGTCACTTTTTCATAAAAACTTCACTGAGTCACAAACAGCACACAATATGGCCCCACTTGGGAGCTCCCCATCTCTGAAGTGTTTTACCCAAGTGGGCTTAATCAAAGAGAACTCTACAATTAGTCGGGCAGTTCCTAGGCAGAGGACATCTTGTGTACTGTTTGTTCAAAAAAGTTTTTATAAAGTGGTGTCAATGTTCAACCTGTACTCTGTAACATTCTTGGGATTCGGAGCATTGATGTGCACCTTCGCCAGCACCCTAAGCAACTACAGTTGGGAAGAGGCTTAGACTTTGGAGTAGTGATGCTCGATTTGGATAATATAACAGTGATTGAAGGCTAGCTGCATTAGAAAAGGCAATCTCTCACCAGCTTGGGCCCTTTTTGAAGAAACATGTTCATAGCCCACACAGCTCTCCTGTAAAGTATACAACTTTCTCAATATATACAGTGTATAATAACAGAAGCAAGACCATGAAGATGCAAAGGCTTCCAGTACCGTATATCAAAAGCAGCAACGTAAGAGACTGCATCTAAAAAAATGAGTTGTAGCACTTTCATAAAGCACGAATCCCATCCATTACACCTATATAAATTGATTTTTTCCAATTTTCTTGGACTATAAAGTTTAACTTTGTAGCACTGCAAACTATTAAATCTGCTCTGATCTTTGTTCTGTTGGGGGAGACCCCCCCCCACTGGGGTTTCCATTAGGTTTCATAAAACAGCAAGGCATTGAGTCCCAGTCCAAAATGGATTTCTGCTTGAACTAAAAACATAGTACTAACATAATAACCTGATGCTGCATCTAAGTGCTGCTACTTGAACTTGGCATAAAAAGCTGATGTTTTGGCCACAGGAATGAGTCAAATCTTTGGTAATGAACCAGCAAACGTACATGGCACTGCAGTAAATTATAAAAACAAACAGAATATTACAGTAAACAAAATATATCTTCTGTGTGGCAGCATCAAGCTTTATACAGTGGAAATTATTTGGACGGCAACAAAAATAGCAGAGAGGAAGAATAGCTATTTATGAACTAGCAAAACAACATGTGATCATCCGATTCTCCATGTGGGTTGCACAGCGTACGGTCATCTCTGGTAGATTATCTATATTTATATGGCATTATTGAGAATTACTACACACTGCCTTTAACCATTTCAACATCCATCGGGGGAAGGCAACTATGGATCCTCACAGGTCATTTGCAGGTTACAGAGGGCTCAACCATGTTTGGGCTTGTGCCATGAATAGCAACCAAATTAGGGCTGAGGTATAAAAAGTGTGCTCTAGGAAATGTTTCTTTTTGCCCATAGCAACCAGGCAAGCTGTCATTTTACTGGTTGGTAAAAGAAACATGGCTGCCACTTGGCCATATCAGCCATCAGGCTGGTACAGGCAGCAAGAGCTGTCCTTCAACTCAAAGCACACTCCATGACATTTCAAGCCTTTTTCACAAAAAAAAAAAAAAAAAAAAATGTTGTGGTTCACACTGGACATCTTAAGGAAGAATTGCCTGTGTCGCCCAAAGCAGTTACAGCAAGGAAAGAGCAAAAGGAAATATAGAAAAATGCATGAAAAATGGGCACTTCTAATATTGGGCTTATTTAATAACCTGGGACATAGAATAAAAGGAGAGAGTTATCAATTCTGTTGCCATTCAGATTATACAATAGATTTTCTACAAGGTTACAAATTAAGTAATAAATTCCTCCCTCAGCTGCTCTAAAGTAGAGCTGTAATATCATTAAACTTGGTCCTGAACACTTCTTAATTGTGTATCTGTTTAGAGCAGCCATTTTCAACCAGGGTTCCATGGAACCCTAGAGTTCCTGAAGAGGTTGCTAGAGGTTCCTTGAACTGAGGCTGCTTGACCTTCAATCTGACAATGATAATTCCTTGTCCAACGCCACTTGGCAGATCTTTTTAGCAGTCTATAATGTTGACCTCCAATAAAAGAGACATTCTTCTGACCCCTAGTGAATTCCTTCTAGTGGAGGTTCTTTTAGATCTGTAAACTATTTTAAGGGTTCCTCTAGGATGAAAAGGTTAAGGAAGGCTGCTTTAGCGTAAAAGATAAAACGGATTCATGCCTTTGCAAATCTGCTGAAGCTGGTTGCCCAGGCTCAGGGGTCACAAATACAGAGAAAGAGCAACAGCACTATAAAAAGGAGTACAGGTCTAGTAATTCCCCAACATCAGGTCCTTGAGGAATAAAAGAAGCCAGTAGAAGGGAATTAAATAATGCTCCCCTTAACTACAACCCTCCCTGTGTACATTTTGTAATAAAATGCTTTTTGAATACAGTTTCTTTTTCAGGGCTTCTATGTGGTCACGCACCACAGCTTCTCTGTACAACAGAGAGTCCAACAACAGTGGTGAATATTAAGGATTTGTGACATCATCCCAACAGAGTCCACAGGTCCCATGGCTCCCAAGCATTGTTGGGCATGAGAAGAGTTCCCATCCAGCAGCCACAGAGAGAAGTGGGAGCGAGATGGACTATAGGAGGTCATGTGAGTGCATAGGTAAATTTTACAAAATACATCAGTATTCGGGAAGCAATTACAAAATCTCAAAATTCTCCTTTAACTATCCAGTGTGTACCAAAAAAACTGCAATTTCAGTTTTCATTGGACTGACATTTTAAGAAGGTGAACTGCTAATTGTGGTACCGTTCCATGTTATTAAATATGCCCAAAGTTGTTGATCAAACTGAATGGCAGGACTAATAAAAAACATGGTAAGAAACCACTGAGATCCCTTATATACACAGATATTAAATCAGACATGTACCAGGAAAAAAAAAAAAAAAAAGGCAACAGTGATCTATAAAAATGCAATTCCTTAAAAAAACAAAAAAAAACACTGTAATAAACAATCTGAATTGGCACGGAGAGGATGGGTAGCAACAAGACACAACTGCACTAGAGCTAATGTACAGGTTTGTCACGGATGGACACAGTACCATCTTCCATGCCAAAGTAGACCCGTTCAGCCATATTGATGAAGAGCCCAGTGTCCACCACACCTATAGAAATATAAAAAAAAAAAAAAAAAAAAAAAAAAGATTAAAACACACACATTTAATAAAGGGGAGCAAGTCACCAATAAGGAATACTTGTACATGTATTTGTTCTTTGACTATACAAATCAATATATTTCCAGCGTCAAGGCAAACAGCCATGCAGTTTGAGTTTTTTTAAATGGATAACTGCAAAGATCGAAATAAAAGGTTCTACTGATGAATGCAAGCAGAGCACAGCAGTAAAAAAAGGCTCAGTTTGTAGACAGGTTTAAGACACTCAAGCACACATTCCCTTGCTCCTTAAATAGACACTATCCTCATTTGGAGCACTGAGAAGGGCCCCACCGCTGCTGACCCATTTATACTTTCCTTACCAGTGCTTCCCCACTTCTTCCCTTTCCTCTGTTGCAGCCAGCACCAAAACCCCGGGTGTCAAATCCAAAGGGAGCAGTGACTTCCCTCCCTTGGTCATGTGATAGTGCTTGGGTCTGATTGCTATACCCAAGCACTATCACAGAGGATGTTGGTCTTATGTTCCTTTAAACCTTGAAGCACTGGGTATTGTTTCCAGCTGAGATGGAGTAAGTAATGGTAGGGGAGCTCTGATAAGAGGAGTATAACTGGTTCAAAAAAGCCCCTTTGCTTGAATAGACAAGGTGATATTGTCTGCTCTAATCCCCCCTCATCTGCAGCACTGCACTGTATCCTTACCATTCCCTCCCTTGCCTGCTATTCACTCCAGCATTGTGAAATGACTCAATTAGCCATGCTTCTGGGTATGAACAAAATTGCTGTACTTCCGGGTACGAAGGTAATACCCATACTTTTGGCTTTGGTGGAGCATGTTATAGAGTTTGGCCAATTATGCTGTCACTGGAAGACCAAAGCCTAGTGAGAGTTACCAATCCAGGGACTTGTAGTTTGCACAGAGCTTTCCTTACATCCCTGGTGCAGGAAAACAGATAGGAAAGTAAGCTTCAGTAAGCCATTGAGCCACATAAAAGCATTAAAGCATTGAACAAAAAAAAGAAAGAAAGGAGGTAAATCCTACAGGGTTCTTGGTGACCTTGTGGTGCCCAGCTTTTAGCTAAGGACTTCTACCTTTGGTGACAGCTTAATGTTAAAAACTTCATCCAGGACAAAAACATAGAGTATCATGTTATTATTTTCTCTTCTAAATTTATATGGAATCCAGAAAGCTAGGTATTATAGTAGAATATAGAAAGTCACTAAAAAGTGTGAAATCTGGATAGGTAATGGAAATATGGTTCCCAGCAGACATACAAAAATGTTACAATCTATATTCTACAGTAAATATTTACAAGAGATAAAAACTCCAGTATTTCCAATTTTCAGCCGCACTAAATACCTTGCTTCACATCCTAGAAGTTAAACTGCAAATAGCCAAAAAGCAAGTGTTTACAAAGTGGAGAAATATTATAAAGTAGCTCAAATCTCTCAGCAATCATTACTGCACACAACTAAGTACAGTTCCCTTTGCATCCTTTTGGAACTTCTAACTTGTGATGAAATTCACAGCTTTACTTTGGCTCCCACAAAACTGAGTGATCGCCCTCTCTCATCTCCCTGATGCTCCATAGCTTGAAACCATGGGACTTGACCCAGAATTCTAGGGAATGAATGTCCCTTTTTTTTTACTTTATTTCCAATTTTCAGCAACACCAATTACTGTATCTGAATACATACGAGTTTGTTTCTGTCTCAGATCACCGCCTGAAAAGTTTAGCATAGTTCTGGATACAAGAAGAGTGTCACATGTAGCCTTTTTGGATCACAGTGGGCCAAAACCTGACAATCCAAAAAACATGCAGACACAAGCACATAGCTACTCTTGGGTTTATTTAAAATTAAGGATTGTGCATCTGGAACTCATCATTACATGGTCTACTGTGTTCTTGGAGTCCCCCTTTAAGTCAAGCACGGATTCCAATATTGGATTTACTGGCTCCTACATTTTATATTAACATTTGTCCGCCTTAGACAACTATTCAATAGAGAGAGCATTACTCAATCTGATTTCTACATACCGGGATGCTTGTTATGATGGGTTTAGTGCTTTCACAACTATTTCCATGAACAGCACATGTTCAGGGGCAATATGTGAATTAGTCAGAGAAACTAAGGCAGTTTCAGTAGTGTGGGGGAATAGAGAGGATTACCATCTTGGGAGCTGCACCTGCTCTTATGAGACTATCTGTAACCACAGAGCATGGAATGCTGATGTGTCCCAAAAATGTGTATTACGGGTTTTAATTTAGTATGAAGTTTGTAGTAATGTACAGTTCAGTTTTTATGTGGCCCATGCTGAAATCTCCTCACCAAAACTATTGTTCATGGCCTTAAAACAAGAGTATCATTGTCTAAAACCTCTCTCAAACTTTTTACCCTAGAGCAGGGGTGTCAAAGCGGCCCTCTCGCTGTTGCAATACTACAAGTCCCATCATGCCTTTGCCTTTGGGATTCATGCTTGTAATGGTCACTCTTGCAATGCCTCATAGGACTTGTAGTTTAGCAACAGCTGGAGGGCTGCCAGTTTGACACCCCCATGCCCTAGAGGAACCAATTAAATAATTTTCAGGTCTTAAGGAACCCTTGCTAAAACAAACTATGTGATGATCAGAATGTCCATCTTACATTGGTATATCAGACAGAATACTACCCCTACTGACAGCTAAAAAAGGATCATTGGTGTCATGCAGCTGGTCCATCAAAGTAGTGGTGACCCTGGAAATATGCAGGCACCATCAAATGGGAGGTCAATCAGCCAGAGCTCAGGGATTCTCTAGCAACCTCTGGAGGAACCTAGTTGTGATTGACTGGCCTAAAAGCTGGTGGCTCCATGTCAAGTAAAAAAAAACAGGGAAATCTGCTCTATGAAATTCAGCTGATCATTACATGCCCAGGATTGATTGAGGATTTTTTATAATAACCACAAACATGATGACTACTCCCCAATCTGGCCAAAGTGCCCTTAGGCTCACCAGACATCATAGGTGAGTAATATCCCACACCCCAAGATTCACAGTATCGCGCCTATGGATATAAGCAGAATCACATAATTTGGGAGCTGCTACTATTAAGCTGCTGTAAAAATTAATATAAACTGTGATATAATTTTATACAAAATGACATTTAAAATAACCACAAATAATAGTGCTACCCTTAAGTAGAATAAATAAATACATAAATCATTAAAGCCACCACCAAATAAGTGCATAAATGTGATAAGACATTTCAAATTAAGGGTCCTCATAGAGTTCATTCAATAAAGTCCATGCGCAAAAAAATTGCTTATGAGCCTCAACAAATGGAGCTATGAGGTCTTCCTTCACCAGTGAAAACTCATAATACATAGCTTTGGTAAATCTAAAGTCTATTGTAGGATCAGGTTGTAACGTGTATGGTGAGCCTTACTTTTTGAGTACAATCTAAGCTGCCCATGAACATTTCATCCAGCATGCAAAGTTTTGGTAAAAGAAAAAAAAAAAAAAAAAAAAATCACATTGTGTGTACGACAAAATAAGTAGCTGGAGGGTGGTTACACAATTCACAGTGACCACACAACCAAACCTTCCATCTATTAGAACCATCGGACTGGGAGGTCATTGGGGTTCCTTGTCTGAATATTAGAAAATAAAATCTACAAAACCTTATTCAGTTTAACTATTTCGCTGCCAAAGCTACTTTTTTTTTTTTTTCGCACGTGTTAAAAATGCCAGATGATTAGTTAAAAACCCTAAGCATGGTATTTTCTGAAAGCAAGGCCCCTGGAGAAAAAAAAAAAGATTTTATATCACAAAATATTGGTGCAATGTTTTATCAAATGTATACTTTCAGTAAAATATGCACTAAATTTAATGACCCAATTTTTTGGGTAAAATATAATAGACGACATTGCATCTAGTAAATAGGATTTCCAACATGTCATGCTTTTAAAGTGGTTGCAAGGGATAGTTTTTTATTTCATTAAAAATATTAAACATGTTATACCTACCTGCTCTGTGCACTGCACAGAGAGGGGCCCCGAACCTCCTCTTCTGGGGTTTTCCTACCAGCGCATTAGGCTCCTCCTCTTCTGCATAAGCCACCATAGGAAGCCACTTCCTATGGTGACACACCTGCAGGCTCACTTCCGAGGTGGGCTATGAGCATCCAAGCCACTTCCTATGGTGACACACACAGCATGCTCAGCTCTGCCCCCGATCCCCCACTCCTCACAGGATTTGATTGACAGCATCAGGAGCCAATGGCTGTGAAATGGCAGCAAACGTTGGTACACCACAAAATTGTTTTCATAGATGAAAACTTTAAAAGCCTATACAGGGCCTTCTACTTACAGCTAGGGCTGAGGAAGCATTATGTGGAACAAACACAAAATATACTGGAGTGCCCCAAAAAAGAAAAAAAAAAAAAAAAAAAAAAAACACACCACACCCCATGTTGGCCAACAGACTAAAATCCTCTCTGAAAGCCATTTGCCCAATTAGATTGTCCAAAAAGGCTGGTGAACTCCCCTCTGACCCATTGAAAATAGTCTCCATTTTTGCAGGCTTCCGTACCACCCTTTACAATCAACCATCTTCCATCTCTCTAGAAAAAGGCAGGCAGATTTTTTTTTTTTTTTTTTTTTTTTTTTTAGTGCTGATATTACCCAAACCAAAATCCTCTTGGCCATTAAACCCTTTTATAAGCCTCAAAAGCACCTGGCCTGGACAGATTCATGGATAGTTACTATAAAAAAAAAAAAAAAAAAAAAATCCCCTCCTTCCTTACATTTTTTCACTACATTTTTTAAAGTATTCCAGAATCAGGATCCTACCCGTCCCTCATTCTCCTCCAAATTGAATACCCATTTTCCTCACAGGAAATGAAAGCAAGACCTAATGCACCAAATATCCCACGAAGCCTGGAGCAAAACCTCTAGATAAATGTTCCTTTATCGTCTTTCGGTGTTGCTGGGTGCATGCACAAGTTATAAAAAC